CCTGCGCAAGATGGTGGCACTGGGGAACACATCGCCCCGCCAGCTCTGCTGCCCCTTCTGCCGCCGGCACAGCCCGGTGCCCAGTGGGGACGTGCAGCAGCTGCAGGATGACGGCGAAGCACTGGTGCTGCTGACGGGCCGTGAGCAGGCCAAGAAGCGGGGTCTCCCCCATTCCCCTGAGCTCCTCCTCTGCCCCAGCGTGCTGGAGCCCCCACCCAGCCCCGACTGCCTGGTCGTCACCATCCTGGAGGTGCCAGAAGATGTGGCTCCACCAGAGAGCCTGGGCGGGCCGGAGGGGGGGCGGGTGGCACGCCCGAAAAAAACGATGCCCTGCCACGGCCCCGGGCAGAAATGCTGCTCCTGGGGCTGGCGGGCTGTCCCCCACTTCATCCTGGGGGTCCTCTGCCTCCTCTACTTCAGCTCCCTGCCCTTCGGCATCTACCTCCTGCTCATCGAGCACCACAGCCTGGGCATCGTCCTGGTCAGCCTTGTGCCCTCCACCCTCCTCCTCTGCATCATCTACAGCCTCTGCCAGTGTCTATGCCGGGAGGTCTTTGGGTTCCCACACTCCTGATACTGCATGGCCAAGCCCTGTGTCTGCACTGGGGAGGATTTCGGCACCTTGGAGCGTTGTCCTTTGGGGTACGGGTGTTCCCCAAACCACAGCGTGGCAGCGTGCCGGGACCGTGGGCAGATGCTCAGCGCCTGTTTCCTTCCCTTGCAGAACAGTGCGGGCTTTGCCAAGCAGGAGCCCACACCAGAGCAGTTGCGGGAGCTCGTTGCAGCCTTACAAGCATTCAGGCCAGACCCTCCGCTCCTCATCCTCCTCCACAGCAGACAAAGAACGGGAGCAGGGCCGAGAGCAAAGCAGCAGCCAGGAGATGAATCCCAAGTAAGGAAGGGTGAGTGCTCGGCGCCTAGCGCCGCAGCTGGAGGGGCCCCGGCAGCTGGCCACAGCCCGGCACCGGCAGGAGAAGGACGGGCAGAGCCCGGGGGCTCCTGCAGCCAGACTGGCACCAGCACAGCTCCGTGTCCATAGTGTAAATAGTTCTGTCGGTGACGCCCATGCTCCTCGCAGGGCTGCTCCCATTGCATCCGTGTTTCTTTCCCACATGTGTGAGTCCCTTGTTCGCTGAAGCTATGTACCGTGTAGGGGAGGAGCGGAGGAGAGGCGGAGAGGCGTTTCTTTGGTGTGTAAAGACGTCTTTGCAGCTGTTTTGTAGTTGTGGTTTTTATGCGGAGCCTCTGGGCTTTATTTAACCTCCTTGGGTTTTGTTTTGTAAGGATTAATTTAACACCGCTAACCATTTTATTACTTTTATCAAGAAGAGCAAAGTCTATTTTTGATTTCTGTTTCCTAGTTCTTAGGAACATTAAAAACCAGCATACAGCTCTGCCCCGTGTCCGTGCCTTCCCAGGGCTCCTGGTTCCCTCTCCCCTCCCCAGACAACTTCCCTGGCCCTGCTTGTCACTCTGGGGCTGTGCAGAGCCCAGGCCCAGGGGATGGTGTGACCCTAGTGGGTCTGAGCCCATTCCCGCAGCCAATGTCCTGTTCAGTGAGGGCGCTGCCGCTCCCTCCCATGCCCCTCGTGTGTGGTGCCTCCTGCGTGTCCCCATCAGTACGTATCCCTGTCCCTGCGTGTCACTCCCTGTGCTGCCCACTGGCACTGTGGCCACCACAGTCATGCGCCCCATGCGTGAGCCCACCCCATGGGTGACTCCTGACATCCAGGGAGGGGAGAGGGGAGGAGGCATCAGGAAGGCACTGAATCGCCTGAAAACGCTGCGGGTCTTCCCCTGCTGAATGCGGGCCTTGGGGCCCACAGCCGGCAGTGGGGCTGGTGAACCCCCAGCAGCCTGGCTGGGCGTGCAGGAGGGTCCCATGTTGGGCAGCGTGGGGATGTCTCTGTCAGGCAGAAGCAGCCGGCCTGAGGGGCAGCCTGAGGGGCTCAGGGCAGGACTGGCCCTGCTCCCTGGGGGTGGTGAAGCCAGATGCTCCACTGGCCCCCCCACACCCCCGCCGGCATCCCCACTGCGGAGAGGCAACACCAAGAGGTCCAAGACAGAGTCACATTTATTCGCGCCCCGTGTCCCTCCCTGCCCACACCTCCCGCTCTCCTCGTCTGGGCAGCTGCTGGGTCCTGTGGCCATCTGTCCTGCCTTCCCCAGCCGTGAGGCTGTCCCCTCCCCATGGCCACAGCCCCGGCCCCCACCTGGCCCTCCGGCACAGGGCACAACTGCCCCAGTCCTACCCCTGCTCTGGCACCCCCGGGGGGCACCCGCTCTCACCAGGGGGAGATGCCAG